CCTAGGGGGTATCCCGAATGTGCCAAGCTGTGGGAGCTGGGGGGCAGGCAGAGCGCCACATGGCTTTGCGCCTTAGGGATACTCCCTAGGTCAGTGAATGGAGAGGGGGTTTGCCGGGTGGCTGCTTGTGAGCGTGGTCACCTCATGGCTGCTTCACCCCTGAGGCTGTGCCCGGCTCTTCAGGAGCCTGCTCGCAAGGCAGCAGCCGCCCGGCAACCCCAAAACAATAAGCCCTCCCCTGATAATAAGGCCCAAGCCATATTTTTGGGGGTCAAAAGAAAATAAGACCCTGTCTTATTTTCAGGGAAACACAGTAGGAAACTTGGAAAATGAAACTTAAAAATTGGCTTTGTATCAAGTGGAAGGGAATGACTTGTAGGAACTCAACTAAACTCTAAAAAGGAGTGGAATGTGAATCTCAGCCAATAAGAGTTAAAACACTGCAGGTACAAACTGAGCTCCTTTGGAGCCTATCAAATTAATTTTACTTTTTTCATATGTCACATCCCAAAATGAATTCATCAAGGGAGTTTTAAGGGCTTTTGAGAGATTGTGCCCATGAAGGCGGAACTGCTATGAGACGGCAGTGAGAATAGTAAGGGTTTAGTCTGCAAGTATCTTGCATTATATAGAAGATTAAATAAATGTTATTTTGATAATAATCGTGTTCTACTTGTATGGTTTTTCCATATATTTATTTTTTTCAAAGTATTTCTTTAGAAGCAGAACCACATAATTTCTTTAGGTAGTTTCTTTATAGTTTATCAAATATTTATTTAAAGATGTGTATATTTTTCCCTTGTCCCTTTTAATGTTGACACAGTTGTGTTCTTCAAAAGCAACAAGGAAGCTTGGGCTTTTGCTTAAGTCTTGGAATTCAGTGAACTTTTTCTTTATTACTAGAAGACCAGTCTTGGATTTATTTACATTTTATACATTTGTGATAAAATATATCAGAAGATTCTTTTTTGTTCCTCATAAAAATCACAATCATGTGTGTGGTTGCATTCCATACAAGATTGTTTTACATTGTAAGGTCTTATTCATTAATCCTTAGATCCATTTTTTTGTCCCCCATTGAATCAGCATCTCAAAAAGCATTGATCCAGCTGAGATAATTAAAGAGAAAGGATCCATCAGATTGTTCTTCTAATATTCCTACCTACAGTTAATGAGTAAAAACAGTAATGATCAGGCTTTTAAACTGCAGCATGCCTTCAAAATGCCTTCTTCTCCCTTTTGATTTCTAAAGCTGCAGTTCCAAAAGTCATGCTTCCACTCCTTTTGATACTTCTATAGTCTGGAGCTCTAAAGTTATATTGACTTTCTTGGGGGTATTTGGGGGATTAGATTAACTTCTGCTCCAAAGGGCTTGAGTATTGTCTTTTAATAGGTATATTCTTTCCACATGCAAGGGTATACTTAGCTTTGCATTTGTTTATTTGTAGAGCAGTAACAACATAATTTGGGTTTTAACATCTGCACATTCATCTTCTGATTTCAATATATATTATAAATACGTCTTTAAAATACATGGTTATACATTTATACATATATGTCTTGTAGATCAGAAATGCATATTCCTGCAGTTTCTTTGCAGTTTGGAGTGATATTGGAAGCTTATTGTCGTGGAAGCATCACTCACATGAAAGTTCTTTCCAAACAGGTACTACTTACTTTAAATCCTTCCCCCAAGATTATTTGCACGAAATCAGTATGATGTAAAATGCTTTTATAGGGCAGACATTTTTGAAAAAGCACCTAACAAATTCACAGTAGTTGTCTTATCTGTAGAAATAACCAGTAATTGTTGCTTAACCAGTTGTGAAATGCTGCTGACCATATTCATTGGGAAACTGGCAAAATAATAGTTTTAGAGGTTTTTTTTTTTAATCTCCTGCAATCAGGTATGAATCTTTACCTCACAAAATAATTACCTACTCCTATAGTATAAGAAAATATCTTAATTATATGTTAACATACTTGAGTAAACCATTAAAAGCTAATAGCTGTTTTAAATATATTCAGTTTAGTCTTTTGTGGACTGTGACATTTTTTGTGCACTTTAGAGGAAGTGCATGTCAGTGCAATCAAAGAAGGGGCAAAAAATTCCCAACTGTGCAAACACGGAAGAAATTGAACCTAGAAAGGCTTCAAAAAGTTCCTGTTTGTCCAGTACAGGTTGAATTTGTTCCCTCATATATTGTTTGCACAGCTCCTACAATTGTAGAAAAGCAGGGATCTTTTGGTTTTCACAGATGGCTGACCTGACAAGTCTCTTGTCATTTCTTTATAATCAAACTCTGGACAGCTTCCATAGCATCCTGCTTGGAATGACTCAGCCTTCTGTAAGAAAGTTTAAGCCTTTAAAACATGCTTTATACTAAAATCCTTTTTTTCCTTACAGAACCTAGGGAAAATACAAAAGTAGATGCTAATTACTAAGCAATATATATTTTCCAAGTATATTAATACTGGTTTAAGCTTCAGATTTGTAAAGAAGCTATTATTGTTCTATTTGTTTTAGTGAGTAAAAGTATCAAACACTGGATATTAATAAATGTCTGACAATTCATGGTCTAAGGTCATATCCATAGCTTCAGCATTATGTTTCTAGAATTCTGAAATGAAGGAGGTAGTAATTTAACAAAATTGAGAGAAAGAACCAAGAAAAATGTTTGTTAGCAGGTCCATATTAATAGTCAACGTTTGTCAAAAGTAAGGTTGGATTCTGTACCTTTCATCCAAGATTTAAGGGCACAAAGACTGGGAAATTGATGGAGAATGTAAACTAATTTACACTGAAACAGACAGACATAAATCTAGTAAAAGAATTGAACTTTTTTTTAATTTTGTTCCTCACAGTCATCTTCACAATTGTTACATTTTAACTATCATGGTTCCCCGAAAATAAGACAGGGTATTATTTTCTTTTGACCCCTGAAATAAGCACTTAGCCTTGTTTTCGGGGAGGTCTTATTATTTTTGAGGTGCAGGAGGCAGCAAGCATAGTCACCTCTTGGTTACTGCTGTGTTGCAATATTTTTTAGGGGAAGCTTATTTTAGCGCATGCGCTCAAAAACCCAATTGGACATTATCTGGGGAGGTCTTATTTTCAGGGAAACAGAGTATGCTTTTTTAACCCTGATAGATATAGAGAACAGACCTGTTTGCATCCTGTAGACGTAAATGTACCAGCATCGAAATTTCTCTTCTGATAATAGCAATACCCTGGTTGCTATGTTATCTGTAAAAAAAAAACTGCATTATGGATGATATTAAGGTCATTCTAATCCATTTAGATTAGATGCTCCTTTTTTATTGACCACATGTTAAAAATTCTTCCTACTTCATGATAAAACTATGTTGGTCACCCATTTGGAATCATATTTCACTATCATTTTCTTTGCTTCTGTTAACAAATGTTGTCAGCTAGCTCTTTAAATGTACATTGTTTTAATATTGTTATATATTTATGCTTTTTTAGTTGCCAATAAAATAAATAGCTATGTGGGGAATTCTCTGTACTTCTGAGAAAGAACATTACTTCAATATTTTGTTAGCTTCTTTTGGTACAATGCTATCTCCTATTTAAATTAAATTGATAAGAGGAGATGTGAGATAGAAAATTTATAGAAGTTATCATTTAGCTACGATTGCCGTAAAGAAACAAACGTTAAATCTCACTTCTGTGGCTCCCTTAAAAGTGGCTCCTTTGTCAAAGGCTATAATTGGTTTTGGTGCAGCTCAGAGAAAAGTGCTTTTACCATATATGCATCACCTTGTATTTTATATGGTGAAAATAAATATAAGGGGAAAACAAAATATCCTTGATTTGGGGGGGGGGGCTTTTAAAAAAATTCAATATGCTGAGTGTTGAAAAGAGTTTGCATAATACTGTATAGTTACTTAATTTTAGAAATTATTGCCTGTACTTTGGATTATCCATTGACTTATGCATACTTCATACATCTTAATAATTTATGATTTGATTAAGCAATATTTGTAAATAAGCCACAGTAGCCAGTACTAAACAAAGCACAAATTACCGTGATATGTGAACCCATTCATTCATTCTAGAAAGTAGCATTTTCAAATATGTATTTCAGGTTGAAGCACTGAATAAGCTGAAGACTTTGAATAGCATAATCAAGCTGAATGCCATGAAACAAAGCAAAGCTAAAGGGAAGGATACAATGCATACCTGTTTAAAGCAAAACGCTTACAAAGAGGCTCTTTCTCATCTCCAGTCCCCTCTAAATCCGTCAGTCTTACTTTCAGAACTTTGGTAAGATGGCCTGCTTTCATTCATCCATGTACACTGTACTATAAGTTGTAGTATTTAAAAAAACAACAGAAGGCTCCAATTATTTAAGTTCTGTGCTCTTTATTGCTTAGTAGACATGGCCATGCATAAGGCAGCATTCCTACATGTGGCTGACATTTTCTTTTTCTCCATCTTAGTCATATAAGCAAATCTCTGTTGTTTTAAGATTAAAATGTCAGTTCTAATCTGGAGTGAAGTTTGGATTACCCGTTAAACTGTTAAATGTTTAGCATTTCCAGAAATAATGGCTTAAATTAATAATTTATTGCTAATTGTATTATCAAAATATGCACAATAATAGCTTAAGTGACAACTTTTTAAACACAAAACTCAGTAAAATTTGGATGAGAGCACTCATCCAAGTATACTGAATTGGTTTTGTACGTGGTAACAATTGCTATAATTGTTTTACACCAGAAATTACAATCAATTTCTCCTGTGTCTGTCTGTCTGTCTGTCTCTGTCTCTCTGTCTCTGTCTGTCTCTCTCTCTGTCTGTCTGTCTCTCTCTCTCTCTCTCTCTTTCTCAGAGAGATTGATTTTCAAAGTAAATATGCATCTCTATTTCAGGTTTTGTATTAGTAGCCACTAATACCAAGTAATGTGCCAATTTGCCAGTGTAATTGATATTGAAGCAACAGAATGAAAGTTTTGAAAAGCATTTGTCCAAGTTCTAAAACTCCTTTATAGAATAACCTTCCATCAGACTTATTTCTTCCCAATACATTTTTATGGCTCATTAATCTTTTAACTGAACTCACCAAAAATGTTATTACCTTTCTTCTAGTATAGAGAAATGTAAATATATGGACTCAAAAATGAAGCCTTTATGGATAGTATACAGTAACAAAGCATTTGGTGCTGACATGGTGGGAATCATTTTTAAAAATGGAGATGGTAAGTACATAGAAAACTTCATTTTCTGCTGTTGGCATTTTAATTTTAGATTTACTAACATAGTATTTTGAACTTAAAGTTTTAGACTTAAAAAAAAGGTGTAGTGGAACATTGCATTATTTCAGGCAGATTATATTGACATTCTGTGAAATAGTATTTTTTTTACAAATCCAAGTATGTTTTATTGATGTTTGAAAAATTTCCATATTCACATAGTCCTCAACTTATGACCCCAATTGAGCTCTAAATTTCAGTTGCTATTTTCAGCCATTTTGTGTGAGGGGAGGTTGTGCCGTTTTCAAGCATTTTGCGGCTGTTTTGCATGTTCAGTAGTAGTAAATAAATAGAGAGGGAAGTTGTACGTTGAGGCCTTTGATTCAATTTCCTTCCCTATTAATTTACTGCTACTGAACATCCAAAACAGCCCAAAAAAATTGCCTTAAAAAACAGCTGGAAATAAGCTGAAATGGCTGAAAAACAGGCAGGGGCGCGGTCAGCCAGTGGATTGCTGAACTGGGCAGAAGTTTAACAAATGATTCACCTGAACCTGTCCAGACTAGCTGAAGCCCACCTCTGCATGGTCCAGTCAAGGTGCCATCTGGTTGCCTGCTAACTTTACTCCTCCTCACTCCGACTACCTGTGGGAATGTCCTTGGTTCCCAGGAGAAAATATTTTGTTTTGGCTAAAAAAATCACCAGCTATCTCTATTCCCCCCTCCCTATCCCTCAGCTCAAGTGTGGCAACTCTGAAGCCTAAAAAATAGCCTTGGTTAAATCAGCTTCAGGGTTGACAGACTACCTATATATTGCACATTTTTCTATTATTTTACATATCCTATCTATCGATTTTTGTTACAGATCTACGACAAGACATGTTAACTCTTCAGATGTTACGTTTAATGGATTTACTTTGGAAAGAAGCTGGGCTAGAACTTCGGTAAGTGGATTCTTAATGTTGTTTTTTAGATTGTCAGTATTACTATTATTTTTAAATACTACTTATATGAAGACATACAAAATGATTCAAAGTTACCTGAACAACTTCAGATAATTTCTAAAAGAAATACTTCTTTATACTTAGCAAGGAATAGAAGCATATATTACCATTTTTAAAGAACAAATCCTATACAAGTATGCTAGTTTAATATGATAAAAAAAGGATTTTCAACAATACAAAAAAGTTGCATCCTGATTTTAGCTTTATGTAATAAGAAATTAATTGCTGCCCTATAGAGAACAATAAAAATAAACCATTAACCAAGATACATTAGTTTTTAATATAATGTCAGATACAAGAATATTTCATTACCTATCATAGTATAGCCACTTGTCTAAAATGGTATAGGGTCTCCTGGAGGTTGGAGTAGAAGTCCTTTCAGCTCTATTCTGATTGATTGTCCCTCATTTATGATGGAAAAGACCAGATTTAAATGCTTGTATTCAAATTGTAGCAAATCTTTTGAAATGAACTATTAATATTATAATATTTTATGTGTATCATGAAACCTGAGATATCTATTTTTGCACATAGATTTCTTGAAATAATTTGTTACTGTATTCCACCTTATTTATTAAATCCCAGAATTCTGGAACATCATGAGTGTAACTATCAATCCCAGTCTCCCTCTACAACTTTTCAAATCCTTGCTTAAATCATCAATCTTCACTTTAAAATAAAGCTATTTTTCTCTGAGCATCATACTAAGTCCTGTTGGAATACCACGAATGGCAACAGAATAATTGATATTTTGTGGTGCCATTTTGGTGGTGGAAATATGATGCAGCTCATTGTACTTCGGTTTCCAAGTTGCCATTAAGTAAGTAGGAAAACAAACAAACAAAGAAACATAAATAAATAAGATTAGCAAGGAAAAAGAATAAAATGCCTATTTATTTATGTCTTTACTAATGATATTAAAATAGTACTGATTGCATTATTCATATATCCTTCAGCATGACAACACTGACTCATGCTCATACTTTAGCCAGTTTGATTTATAAATGCTACTCTCTAAGTAGCTCCTGTGCTTTCCCTCCTTGGGCCGGTTACTCTCACTCAGCTCAACTCAGCTTTCACTGGGTTGTTGTGAAGAAAATAGGAGGATGTATTAGGTATGCGCATCACCTTGAGTTTCATATATAAGAAAGGCAGAATTAACAACAGTAGTAACAACTTCATACACGATATATTTTTTTCCTTTGTTAATGCTTAATGTATTTATTTAGTCCTTGTTTAAATGGGCAGTTGTGCAACATTTGAAAAGTTACTTTGCTTTTTCTCAACAGTGGATATAAAAGAAACAAAATGGTTTTTTTAATGATAGAAACTATATCTTTAACTCACCAGATGGTAATCTGGAGCTCATCTCTTAAATATTTTAGTTTAACAAACAGAATGAACTTCAGGCATATGGCAATCACACAGATAAGAGCAATATTTATCAACAAGTAACCCAGGAAAGTAATAAGGTATTCATGAGAAAATGTTCTATAATTATGCATCTGATAGCAGAATAAATTAAATACAAAAGATTCATTTAGGAACTATTACTCAGAGAAAATGTGTGGTTATGTGCTCAGAAGTCAGTTACTGATTTACCATCAATTTGGAAACAAAACAAAAATCCCTGATTTTACAAATAAGCACTGTAATTGTTACCAACCTCTTAAGAAGTGTTGGAGGGGGTAGGATTACAATTAATTCCAGCAGAAGACTTTATGCATGTTTTTAAATACACTTTTTATATTAGTGCTAAAAGCTACAAAGGAGATTTAAGCCAATACTGATGCTACTGAACTGCAGAGAGGATGAGAACTTAAAAGATCTTGCAGCTAACTTCATGCTGTAGATTTCCTCAGTGTTTTATTTAAAATCCTCAAATAAGAATTTTCACTTACATTTTAAAATTCTCATTAATTGTACTTTGAATTCAGTTCCAATTGCTAAAGAGTGGAGGTGGGCAGCACAGCATTCATATTCATCAGAATGTTCACCAGACCTCAGTCTTCAAGGAAGACTTTAAATATATGTATTTATTTAAACATTCTTGAAATTGCTCAGAATTTGATGTTCTTATGCAAGATCTTGTGTTAGAAGGTTGCCGGATTTTGGAAATCTGATATGACAATTTCTACTGAAATCTTATGAGATTTCAAAGAGAAGGTTGCCAACCCTTGCCATAGATAAGCAGAATATAATGTGATTAAAAATATAGTTTATGTTGAAAAAAAGATTATGTGAAGAACCTTGTCTAGGAATCTATAAGAAGTGCTTATCTGGCTACTCCACTCAGACAAATAAGATCCAAACCCTATATTTATTAGGATCAACAAAACATTACTAAAAGTTACATGAATGAGCTTCCTAGAACTTTTCATCAGCCTGGCCCTAGGTAGACAATAGATTGAGAAGAAACAGAAGCACTAAAAATGTGGCCAAATATTTAATTAGTAACTGCAAATGACCTCTATGTAAATGTATTTTTCTGGAAATCTCATGCATTCTTTCTTTTTAAAAAATTTCATTTGGCTAACATTCAGTTGTAGTACTTAGAAATAAATAAGGGAGATAGCACCATCTGTTGTTAGAGTTTTAGAAATTCAGAACACTGCTTTCCTCTTTCCCTTTTTTAATTAAATACTGATTTTGGACAACATATTGATTTAAACTCTCTTTGTAGAAAATAAAATCAGATAAAAATAACTTAGATAAATAAAAATATTCTGTCTTAATTATAAACTCATATTTTTTCCAGATTGTTGCCTTATGGCTGTTTAGCAACTGGAGATTATTCTGGTTTAATTGAGGTGGTTTCAGCTTCTGAAACAATTGCAGACATTCAACTCAACAGCAGTAATGTTGCAGCAGCTGCTGCATTCAACAAAGATGCTCTGTTAAATTGGCTTAAAGAATACAATACTGGGTATGTAGAAAATGCTTAATTACTTTACTCCTGTGTTTTAGCGATCTTTCGGTTTTCTGATAGATTAATGACGTTTGAGAAATTCACTACTAAAGGAGTTGTGACAAACTAGTTGGTCTTCAGTGGTACCTCTGCCCAGAGACTTAAACAACACATCTCTTGTAATTTGCAATCACTCTTTCTACCTTTCCATTTGTTGTAGGGGGACAGAATGTTGTTAAACTGTCTTATTGTCAGGCATTGATACAGTTTTCACAAATACATTAAGATGTTGCACAGTACTCCATAAGCAAAATACATCTATTTTTTCATGTAATATTCTCTACACCTATAGAATGTGTGTGTGTGAGAGAGAGAAAGAGAGACTGGAGGGGGGGATAATAAATTGATTGTAATTTCTAGTATAAAACAATTCTACCAGCTGTTACCACATACAAAACCAATTCAGTATAGTTTATAAAAATTACTAAATATTTAATGATATTTTAAAAATATGCTGGAAGGAAAAGTTCATATCATTACAAATTATATTCCAGCATATTATAGAAAATTATATTACAATGTTCCTGCCAAATGTGAAAGAAAAATCCAACTTGATTATTGCATTTCCAACTATTGTTTTCGTGAAAAAATTTGCTACAGCCATATCATTTTTATCATTCTCACCACCCTTGTGATTTCCTATAATGTTAGCATTTTTAAAATTTAAAGTGTTCCTTTCAATTGCATTCTTTGATATACAGGTAATCCTTGCTTAATGTCCATTTATTCAGTGAGCATTCAAAGTTACAGCAGCACTAAATGAAGGGACTTACCCCTGTTCCTCAAAGTTCTGGCTGTGAAAGCTTCTCTCACAATCACATGAACAAAATTTGGGCCCACCTGCATTTTGGTTGTCCACCTATCCACTGCCACCAACTGCTCCCACTGCCAGGCCTTCTCTGTCATCGCACCATGCGCCACTGCTGCCCTACCCAGAACCATCTTTTGCAGCTAGAATCTTATCTCATATACTCAGTGTGATTTTTTTTTTTTTTTTTTTTTTTTTTATTGTAAATGTTTTATTCATTTTCATT